ATGATTATGCTGGTGACTAGACCAACTACTGCAGCTCACTACCAACTAGTGAGTGTACTGCATACTAGCGAGTAAATGGACTTAGGAGAGTAATGTGCTACAAAATGTATGTGCTCAATTGTGGCACATGCACATCAAGGTTTAGGTCTGCATATAAATAAACTGTCAAGCTTTCTCAATCTATAATGCACAGTTTCAAACCGTCATTTTAACTATGTGATCTGATATGAAAAAAGAAATCCTGAAGTATGAAATAACCAGCGCTTCCAGGAGATGGATCCTCAGTTTCCAAGTATGCTAAGCAGTTAAATTCATATTGAGGTGCTCCTGCATAACATTTGGGAATCTTTCTCTAGATACGCCTAGGAAGTAAATTAAAAAAACAATTACAAATGTCTTTCAAAAGTTGCTATCATCATAGTTGCCTGGCACTTGAGATCACTGGAATTGAAGATAAGAGGAAAACATTGTTAAAAAAAGTTAACGGGTAAAAGTTTTACAAAAGGTCTGTTACTGGTAAGTGTGGAACAGCAGGTCTTATAATTTAAAAGAAAAAAAAGTATTATCTGTTCTTGACAAGCTTCACTGAGCTCTGGTAAATCTTATCCTTAGACGAGTATTTCTAAGGAACATTAAAAAAACAAACTAAAAAAAGAAATAAGCTCTGTAAAGCCCACATCTGAAAATCAGGAAAACAAAATACTACAGTTATTCTTGGACTTCTGACATAAGATCATGAATATTTTCCCTGTATAGTCTCAGGGAAGATGCTCATTTCCAGAAACTCTGTTGTTTAACTGAGAAGCAAAATCAGGAGAAACACTGCAACAAGCATTTTTGACTTCAAACTTCTGTTTTTGGCCTGGATGTTCATTTGAGCCTTGTCATCACTCTAGAGATGCTGATGCCCGTCTGATATGCTGGCCCGTTTAACAAAAATACCCTACAATAGTGTGATTTGAAATATCACAGTTATCACATTAAGAGATAATCTAGAAAAGTATCTTACAGCCATAATATATTCCAATACGTCCAATACAGTTTTTTTTTTCTCCCCAAGCAGGAGTATATTTGCAGACACAAAATTCATCTTATATCCCCTTAAGAGGGGACATCTGCTCTAATCACCAATTTGCTTCCTTTCCAAAAGTCCACGTTGCCTGACTCTATATTAGTAGGATGCAAGAACACACCACAAAGCACCTATTTGGTCAGAAGGACTATGGTCCAAAGTCACTGCACAGAAGCTATTTCACACAATCACTGAGCGGCTGAGGTTGGAAGAGACCTCTAGAGATCATCTAGTCCAACCCCCTGCTCCAGCAGGGACACCCAGAGCACAGGGCACAGGGCGGCATCCAGGCGGGTTTGGAAGATCTCCAGAGAAGGAGACTCCACAGCCTCCCTGGGCAGCCTGTGCCAGGGCTCTGGCATCCTCACAGGAAAGAAGTTCCTCTTCACCTGGAGATGGAACTGCCTGTGTCGCAACTTACACTCATTGCCCCTTGTCCTGTCACTGGCCACCACTGAGAAGAGCTTGGCCCCTTCCTCCCTACATTTCCCCTTCATGAACTTACACATATTAACCAGATCCCCTCTCAGCCTTCTCTTCTCCAGAGAAAACAGGCCCAACTCAGTCTCTTCTCATACAAGAGATGCTCCAGTCCCTTAATCATCTTTGTCACTCTCCACTGGACCCTCTCGAGAAGCTCCATGTCCCTCTTATACAGGGGAGCCCAGAACTGCCCCCAATACTCCAGGTGCGGCCTCACCAGAGCTGAGGAGAGAGGCAGGATCCCCTCCCTTGACCTGCTGGCAACACTCCTCCTGATGCAGCCAGGATCCCATTGGCCTTCTTGGCCACGAGGGCACACTGCTCACTCATCATAGAATCATAGAATGCCGAAGGTTGGAAGGGACCTCAGAGGTCATCGAGTCCAACCCCCCTGCTCACACAGGGTCACCTAGAGCACGTGGCACAGGGCTGCATCCAAGCGGGTTTTAAAGATCTCCAAAGAAGGAGACTCCACAACCTCTCTGGGCAGCCTGTGCCAGTGCTTTGTCACCCTCACAGTGAAGAAATGCTTCCTTAAGTTCCTGTGGAACTTCCGATGCTTCAGTTTGAAGCCATTTCCTCTAGTCCTATCACTGTCCACCACTGAAAAGAGGCCGCCCCCTCCTCCTCACTGCCTCCCTTGAGGTATTTATACACGCTGATCAGGTCCCCCCTCAGCCTCCTCTTCTCCAGGCTGAACAGACCCAGCTCTCTCAGCCTTTGCTCATAGGGCAGATGTTCCAGGCCCCTGATCATCCTCGTAGCCCTGCGCTGGACTCTCTCCAGCAGCTCCACATCCCTCTTGTACTGGGGAGCCCAGAACTGGACGCAGTACTCCAGATGTGGCCTCACCAGGGCTGAGTAGAGGGGGATGATCACTTCCCTCGACCTGCTGGAGACGCTTTTCTTAATGCACCCCAGGATCCTGTTGGCCTTCTTGGCCACCAGGGCACACTGCTGCCTCGTGGTCAACTTGTCGTCCACCATGACACCCAGGTCCCTCTCTGCGGGACTGCTCTCCAGCAGGTCCACCCCTAATCTGTACTGGTGTCCAGGGTTATTCCTCCCCAAGTGCAGGACCTTGCACTTGCCCCTGTTGAACCTCATGAGGTTTCTCACCGCCCAGTCCTCCAGTCTGTCCAGGTCCCTCTGGATGGCAGCACAGCCCTCAGGGCTATCAGCTACTCCTCCCAGTTTGGTATCGTCGGCAAACTTGCTGAGGGAGCACTCCAGCCGTTCATCCAGGTTGTTAATGAATAAGTTGAACAGGACCGGACCGAGAACTGACCCCTGGGGGACACCACTAAGTACAGGCCTCCAGCTGGACTCCACACCATTGACAACCACTCTCTGCACCCTGCCATCGAGCCAATTCCTAATCCACCTCCCCGTCCGCACATCTATCCCACACCTTTGGAGCTTGCCCAGGAGGATGCTGTGAGGGACARTGTCAAAAGCCTTGCTCAAATCCAGATAGATGACATCCACCGCTCTGCCCTCATCTATCCAGCTAGATAGATATGGTTAACTTGGTGTCAATCAGGACTCCCAGGTCCCTCTCTGCAGAGTTGCTCTCCAGCAGGTCAATCCGTATTCTGTCCTGGTGCCTGGGGTTATTCCTGTCGAGGTGCAGGACCCTGCACTTGTCCTTGTGGAACCTCAGGAGGTTCCTCTCCGCCCAACTCTCCAGCCTGTCCAGGTCCCTCTGGATGGCAGCCCAGTCCTCTGGAGTGTCGGCCACTCCACCCAGATTGGTATAGTCCGCAAACCTGCTCAGGGTGCACTCAGTGCCCTCATCCAGGTCATTGATGAACAGGCTGAACAACCACCGGGCCCAGTAATGACCTCTGGGCACCACTAGCCACAGGCCTCCAACTGGACTGGGCCCCACTTATCACCACTCTCTGGGTTCTGCCATCTAGTCAGTTCTCATTCCACCTCACTGTCTACCCACCTAGTCCACACTTCTGGAGCTTTCCTATGAGGATGTTATGGGAGACAGTATTGAAAACCTTGCTGAAGTCAAGGTACATATCATCCATGGCTCTCCCCTCGTCCAGACAGCCAGTCATCACAGAAGGCTATCAGGCTGGTCAAACAAGATTTCCCCTTGGTGAATCCATGCTCACTACTCCCAATCATCTTTTCCTTCATATGCCTAGAGATGGTTTCTAGGATGAGCTGCTTCAGCACCTTTCCAGGGATGGAGGTGAAGCTGACTGGCCTATTTCCTCTTCTTTATCCATGCATCTGTTCCATTTATCTATACTCCACTGAAGCCAGCTTTATGACTCACCCATATCAAACCAGTGTAAAAAAGCTTGGATATTATCCACTTTCTTTTCCATGTGGCATAAAGTTTCCAGTAAAAGCCACCTACAAGGGTTCAGCCCCTGTAAGCTGCCACTTCACTACCCAGCAATTGCTATTGTGAGGCTTCATTGCATATACATTTGAAGCACTTAGTCATCAAGACTAAGCATTATCTCTCACATGCAAACATATCTGAGTCAAACTACACAATATCCAGCCCCCTAATTCATACTTTCCAGGTGTAAGGCTTGACAAATGCAAGACCAAACCCTACAGTCAACATGTAGTTCCCTGCCGCAAGGGATGTGTCCCTGCTGGAGCAGGGTGTGGTTGGACTCGATGATCTCTAGAGGTCCCCTCCTGCCTCAACCCTTCTGTGATTCCATGAACAGAGACCATAACACATCTGGTAACTAAGTTAGTGTTCACAAGGAAAGTTTGTTGCACATCACAAAGATATTTTAATGTAAATTCTCTGGATCCAATATTCATATGTAGAAAGATGATGAACATTCTATTAATCAAAAAAATAAATTGGGAGTTTAATACACACTAGGCAATGATTTACAAATCCTCACTGAGCTTGCTAGTAGTCTAGGAACTAATCACTGTAACATCCTTTCCAATATACGCTAGTTAAATATGATGACGAAGAACAATGTTAATTAAAAAAAGAGAGAGAAAAAAGAAAAAAACAGAAGATAAAAGACTTCGGTCCTGTTCCACAATTTCCACTGAATACCAGGTTACATTTGTAAAGACTAAGGAGTGAGAAGATGAGACAAGGTTTAAATATGCTTTTAGTGTTTTTAACAGAGGAAGAGTAAAGAGAAAAAGAGTAGCTATCGCCAGCAGAAACTAGGACAGGAAGGATGCTGGAAAAAAAAAAAAAAGATAACGTTGTAGTAGTTACTGAATTATTCTGATCATCTGGAATACAACTCTATCCAAAATACAACCTTTTGAATTGTTACCTCTAAAATCTGTGTTAGAGACATTAGTCAAGATGGAAGGAAATTAAGCTTCATTTGAACAAGAAATGCATAATAAGCAACTCGGGCAAAAAGACAAGTAAAATAACATATACAATGCCAGTTCTACTCTGATTTTTAATCCACTTTTTTTTACTTACCAACTCTGTACTAGCCCAACTGAAGGCCTGTTAAGCAAGTTATCAGGCAACAAATTGACTTCTCGCATGGTGTTCGCTAGTCGCACGGGAAGTTCTTTCCGCAGAAACATGTAGGAAGTCTTCTCACAGGCATTATCACGACCTGTTAAAGGTAAGGCAAGAGAAATCCATTGCAGCAAGTCAAAGTCTAGAATTTCCTTCCCACTTCCAGGAAAAACAAAAAAATCACTTGTGCAAACAGAAACACTTCTGCCAGGTTTCACATTTCATTTACCCCCAAGGGCTGGAATAAGTCTTGACCTCTGCGGATTTTACACTGACTTTCATCTGCCAGAGATATTCTTCCTCATTTCACATCTTACAATGTTTTTCCTGCATCAGTCTCACCTCTTCATTTATGCAGACTTCATCCCAGCCTACATCACACATGCACGTCAGGCTACAGGTATGTTTGAGGAGAATGAACACATCTGTTAAGGCGGCTCCAATTAACTTTGTTCTCCCCACTACCTTTGTTTCCTATACATTGCCTTTCATGTCCTCTCCAGTCCTCTCCATTGCCTTGCATGTCCTTCATCTGCAGTATTTCACACCTCCCAGGACTCTCACATTAAAACAAACCCCCCACCTTTTCACCTTTTCCTGCATTCTTGCTAAGGAAATGGAAGCATCAGTTTTGCAAATAAGAGAGGCAGTGACACTAGCAACTTGGAATGAGCAATTCCAAGATTCCCAGCAGCCATCTGACACCAAACTCATGAAGCAATTTATAGAAACTACAGAAATTAATGATCTTAGTCAGAATTCCTTGGCTTCAGAATTTTCAGGTATATTGCTATTGTATTCCAACATAATGCACTCCCTTTCCTCCCCATTCAGAGAACTGAATGTCTTTATTACCAAGGAGCATTTGACTTTTTAACTGGTCAAAAACAGAGAACTCCCTGCTGCAGTTCTGCCTTCTAAGAGGGCATTAAATTGTCTCAAAAAAGCAAGATGACAATCACAGCATCATGACAGTAGCATTAGTGTTCACGACCTGTACTAACTAGCACTAAGGCATGCACTTTTATCAATGCACTGCAGCACTAAGACAGTAATCATTACTGACCAGCCCTCATCCTATAGACAAACAAAAGAAATTACTTGAAAATAAGACTCACATATGCTAACTTTTAACACTGAAATTAGGTGGGGGAGGAAAAGAGTGAGCTCAAGAAGACCAGGCACACACATGGGAGGGCAGGGAATGAAAATGGAGAGTCAAATCCAAATGGCAACAGCTGCCCCATGTTTCACACCACAAGCTCTGCAAACCTATCAAGGATAAAAGACACATTCCAGCAGCTCATGGAAAGAGCAGCAAGGGCCATCATCCCTCCCAGGACTTGCTACCCAGGGAGCTCAGCAGCCACCTGCACATTCATAGCCATAGCTTTTCAGCGTGGTTAAAAGTAGCTTTCATTTTAAGAAAAGATTTTTGTCCGGCACAGTGTTTCGAAAAAATTGCAAAACAGTCCTCAGAAAACATGCCAAAGGGATCCTGCAAATTGCTAACACTTGGCCATGCAGACCAACTTGGAAGAGCAGTAATTCCCTGGAGAGACCAAAGCACCGACACGCGTTCTGTTCCTCCCACTACAGTTTGTTAGCGATTGTGCTGACGAGCTAAAGCTTTTCCTGGAGATATGTGTAAGGGGTTAGTTGCAATTATTTAAGAGATGCTGAAGATTCTTGCCCATATTTCAGTTGGAGAAACGAGCTTGACTTAACGCACTTCTCAGTCTTGTGGAAGTCGTAAAATACAGGATACCCTACCCCAAAAGGCATTTTTTTTCCCTGTAGAGTGCAGATAAGTTAAAAGAAAAAATGCCATGTTTTACTTCTAATGAACCGTCGGTATTCTGCTTTACTCTAAGAACACAGCAAGTGTCTTTGTGCTCGCAACCAGTGCGACAGCCTGCAAAATTTATGAGCAAAACTACAATGCAAGAGTCACAAATTACATTCAGGCAAATGGGGAGCTGTTAGAAGCACTGCTAGAATCTAATCACTGAGATTTGCAATTTGAAAGCCCCGAGCACAATGCCGGCGGCACAATCAAGGTCGCAATTTTTAAGATAGTGCCATTACAATCAGCTGAACAGGGGAGTTCTCCCCTTCTTTGCATAGGTAACCCGCACTGATGGGTCACCTCCCAATCAAGCTGCAGCACAAGCTGGGGGCACGGGCAGGAAGGATTAGGGTTTTCCTTTCTTTCTTGCCCATTTAAGTATCATCAGTCAGTACATCATTACATTCCAGTGGAATCAGCAATGCTATTACCACTCTTCCTGCAAACATCTGCACCCATTCCACTTACTCGCCTTTCCACATCCCACTCAAATTAGCCCAGGGAAGCATGACCCTGAGGCTGCTTCCAAGAAGCACGGGATGACTTCAGAGCTGTGCCCTTCAGAGAAGCACCGAGCTTGTTGGCACCAACACTAACAGAGCCCTGCCGGGGCTCTAACCACGTCCTTGCTCCGATCTATTGCTCATGGCAGGCTTAGGATGGCCGCAGCTGCGCAGCAGCAGCAGAGTTCCCTCTGAATATTTTCTCCACAAGTAAAAGCAAGAGGAGTGAGGGGCCAGCAAAAGCAGCACGTGAGGAAAAGCAAAGGAGAGCTCAAGGGCTGGTGCTGCAGGAGGGCAGGCACGGGGGCTGTCCCTGCACGGATGGCAAGTAGAGCTGCCCAGGCTGGGAAGAGGGGCCAGCAGGAAAGCCCGGCTGCCTGTTCACCTGCAGCAGGGGCACGTTGCTGTTTTACCTGCCTCATGTCAGCAGCTCTAAACTATCTCTACTGAAATATCTCGCTTGCTCTATGTATGGCTGTGTTTTAGATACCGAGCCTTTTGGGGTCCTGCTGCACGCCCAGTGCAAGAAAAACGAAAGGATGCCCTGTGTGAAGATCAAGTCTCACTCTTCCCCAAGTGTATCTTTTGTTTCCTGCCACGCTCACAGAATATTGGCTGCAGGTCACTTATCTGGGAGTATCCACAGGGCTTCTTCAGCTCCTAGCACAGAGTCAGTCACCTGCCTGCCAAACATGTACGTGGGAAGAGAAGGACGGCTATAGTAGGGCACCGATAACTAAGAATCCTTCAGCTCAGACACAGAAAACGCGCTGTGCCCCAGCGGCTGCCCATGGCTCCTGCTCCTCACGGCAGCTCCTGCGGGACTGTCACTATGAAGGGCAAAAATAAAACCCAAGTCTAGAACTCAGGTATTTTCTTAATAGAATCATATGGAGGTAGACCTAGCTAAATAAATCTCCAGAAACAATTTCTGACACGTTTTAATTACTTTTGCAGGCTCAAGCTAGAAGCAGACATGTTTGTTTGTTTTTCCTCATGGATGGTTTAATTTTTGCTTATTAGTTACATTTTTATTTAAATATATGCAATTCTTTCTTAATTTTGTTATCACTCCAGCTAGGTCAACATACACAGAAAAAAGAAAAAAATAGATTTATCTTACTACAAGCTAAATCCAGTTTAATTCCCTCAGTTTCAGTTCAAGGGAATCTGAAATTACATTCTCCAAGTTAAAATAAAAATGAAACTTGCAAAATTTTCATCTTTGTTTACTTGGCACTTCCCAACAAGGAACCACACGGTAATACAAATATATAAAATAATCATATGCTTATACTTGAATTTATACCCAGGTCATAAAGAACATAGTAATTCTGCATCCCTGTGCAGATTACACTGCATTAGGTATCAAGGACTGTATTTAGCTTGATTTCCAAAGCCAGGAGGTACCGTGTCAGGGAGCTGCTTAATTATGGGGCACTAAGGAGCAACAGCAGATCTCAAGGTAGAGCAGACTGTAATGGCACAGAGGTATAATGCTAGCACGGCAGTGTAATATACCATGAACACACCTTTTGCTATGAATTACTAATAAAGGCCTGGTAGTTTTATACTTGAAGCTATACACCACTAATACAGCTTTATACTATCCTGTGAAATTACAGGAAATTAACAGTTATTTTGAACACTGAAGAGGCATGTATTTTTTTGCCTATAGATTGCTGAATCACTGAGCCCTGGGAAACAGAGTATACTAGGGAAAGTGCTGATGAGCATATGCATTCTGAAGACCATCGGCATAAAGAGAAGGCTTCACCCACATACACATTCATGATTTTACTGATCTGAGTAGTTCAGAGACAAGGGTGAAACTACTGCTTAAATAATGCGTACTATTTTCTTCCAGAAGCAGCTTTTGAACAGGTCTTCCAGACTAGGGACAAACCAGGAAGCTCTGGGGGTTCATCTCTGAACAGCCCATGAGCTACAGGCAGCCCCAGCCTCCACGCTCCAAGAAGGGGAGGCCGCTCCAGGTCCCCGCTGCTCCAGCAGAAGGACAAAGCAGAACCTAGGCTGCCCCAGGCAAAAAGCCCCCGGTCACAGCAGGACCCAGGCCACTCTCTTGACCCAGGCCACTCTCTCGCTCTGCTACCAAAGCCGCGGCAAGGCCACCGCAGTCAGTCACTTTTGCAGTCACTTTTGCACCTGCCGTTTCACTGTTTCCACTTAGGGTTTTTTTCTGGTCTTGCCTTTGTATATAAAACATTTTACATCTACGTTCCTCTCTGTTAAGTTTACGTATTTGAATTAAAAACAGCTAATTTGCCACCAAAGAATTTTCCAAAGTTTTAGGTTCTATTTTCTCTGAATACTGGATACGCTTCCCTTAAAAGATTAAACCTTTAATAACTAAGGATTTCTGCACAAATTTCATATCCCTGGTGAGTTGGAATAATACCTGAATAAAAATACATGTTAATTTTATTTATTTACATGAAGACTGGCCCATTGGGGAAATGTAGCACTCTCTACAGACATAGTAATGACTCTACATAATACATGGCTGATCTCCCATTTTGGGGAGATTGGAAGCACTGAAATGGGGAAGATGCCCAAGAAATCACACAATCCGGTAATGTTCAGCACATTACAACTTAACAAGAGTCTAAAGCCTTGTTCTTGAATTGTCTTTTCTCACCAAACCTCTGTTGAGAATGCTTCAGAGTAAGCTGTATGAGAGCTCACCTAGCTGTACGTAGCTACTTGTGAGAACAGGGTACAGGG